ATAGCCATTATTCTATAGCCATGTGGCAAAAGGTCTGTAGTCTGACTCAATTAAAATGGAACTTCCTGGACTAAATACAAAGTATTGGCACAAACCGGAAACAGCTCATCGCCCAGAGAACACCACCCCTGCTGTGAAGCATGGTGGTGGCAGCATCAAGTTACTGGGAAGTTTCTCCTTGGGGCACTGGTCAGGACAGAAGGGAAAACCTTCTGCTAGAAAGCTGAAACTGGGACGGACATTCACCGTTCAGTGTGACAGTGACCCCAAGGGCTGAGCCAAAGCTACACTGCAGTGGCTGAGGAACAGAAAGGAAAATGACCTTGAGTGGCCCAGGTTCCCCATTTTGTATTTATAGCTTACAGGCCTACTACCTGCGTGTAACATTCTGCACTTGTCTGCTACATCACCTGACTGGTGTTGCTCAGAGTTCTTTGAAAGAACCTGTTAGAAATATGAGTGCTTGACGAGAGGATAACTTTGTTTCTTCATGTTTTATCTGTCAATTGTTACGTTTTGTAAAAAGGTTGTTACTGTTTGGCACTTACTGTAAGATAATCAAAGTGTAAATCAAAATTCTGCCTCCTTCATCTGCTGCCTCCTGAAGCACATCTAGATCAAAGGATCCCATGTCTACTACTTCTTGTTCTGTTCGAGTTCTTGCTCAGAGTGTAAAAGCTCCCAAATTTCACCTTCAAGCATATTTTAAAATTTGTGTGGATTTGTCATTGGTAATTGGAATCACTTCTGAGTGACAGAAATAACTTTTAAGGAACGCTGAGGAGACACTGCAGTAGGTTATGGATGCCGAAGCAGTTGCAATGTTATGCCTGAAGTTGGGTATTTTTTCAATCAAGAACTGAATACAGATACTGGAACAAAAAAGTCTAAACATCAAGCACTGCAATTAAAGGCATGAATTAGCTTCAGTGATTTACAGCTGACACAAAGTTCAACGTAGGACCAGGGATGGAACCAGTGGTCTAGACCCGAGCACAGTCCTTTTCGGAGTTAAATTACGTCATGCATTACTGTTAACAGCACAGATTCCTACTATTGTACTACAAAGAGAAATATCCCAAGAGATACATGAACAAATCAGTGAAATACCTCAGCACATCTGACAGAAGGAATAAACCAACTTCCGTTTTCTTCCAGCAAGGAGTGAAAAAAGATCTCATTGTTTCTGCACCTTACACGGTGTAACCCCGGCGTCCTGACCAAATTCCCCATTGGCCCTTACCAATCATGGCCTCCTAATAATCCCCATCTATGAATTGGCTACATTACTCTGCTCTCCTCCCCACTGAAAGCTGGTGTGTGGGGAGCGTTCTGGCGCACTATGGCTGCCGTCGCATCATCCAGGTGGGGCTGCACATTAGTGGTGGTGGAGGGGATTCCCATTACCTGTTAAGTGCTTTGAGTGGAGTGTCCAGAAAAGCGCTATATAAGTGTAAGCAATTATTATTATTATTATTATTATTATTATTATTATTATTATTATTATTATTATTATTATTACACGGCTACATGTTTCAGACAAGTCATTTGGTAATGGGCATCTAAGGGAAAACAGGAGGGACAGTGGCAGATTGTTCACCATTGCTACCTCACAGCTGTGGGGTCCTGGGTTCAGGTGCTGTCTGCCTGGAGTTCTCCCTGGGCTTGTGGAAGTTCCTCCAGGTGCTCTGGTTTCCTCCATCACTCCAAAGACATGCTGGCAGGTTTACTGACTCCTGGGAAAGTTGGCCCTGGTGTGAGTGTGTGTGTCTGTCCTGCGATGGCCTGGTGTCTCATCCAGGCTGGATCCGGCCTTTAACCCACTGCTTGCCGGGAGCTCTGGCTCCCTCAAGACCCCGTGAGCTGAGAGGAAAAAAAACTGTACAGTGCAGAGAAAAAGTCTGTGAACCCCTTACACGGATCCGCATCCTCATGTATTTCAGAGCTGAAACGTAGTTAGATCTTCATGAAAATGTAAACAAAGATGACGACAATTGATTAAATGTAGACACGCAAATGATAGACAGATTATTTAATTAACAAAATGATCCACATTGAATCACTGTGGTCTTGCACATTTTACATTTGTAAACTATCCGTCTGATAGTGGATGGATGGAGCCCCAGATGTTTAGAAATGGTTGAGTAACCCTCTGCAGAGTGATGAGCATCAGAACAGACAAATTCCTAATGCAAGAACTTGTATATGCCTTAAAAAGTGATCTTGTCTTATCTTAGCTGCCCTTTACCTCTGAAAATCTCTTTTGATCATCCTGACGTGTCTTCACTCACCCTCACACTGAAGGCCAAACTCACAATGTTTCTGACATCATACAGAAGAGAGAGCTGCCCAGCGTCAGTCTTTACCTGTTGCCCAATTATTTAACCACCTGATTCTAAATAACACCTTAACTGTGCTAAGTAAACTAGGCATTATTGTATATAAACTGATTATTAATGATACTTTTTTTACTTCTTACATCACTGCATCTTGTTGCGATTTGAAGAAATCGTATTTCCCTAAATTAGATTGGGGGTTCACAAACGTTTTCTCAGCACTGCAGGTAAACTGAAGTGGAAGATGCACATTTAGTTTGATAAAGCGTTCTACAACGAACCCCCAACCCAAACATACTGTACGATTCTGAAACCTGGGGTTCTTTTAAATGACCGTGAGCACCGCTGCTTGCCTCCAACTTTCCTCCCTGGATCGTCAAGTTCTGTCTATGAGAAGTGGGAAAAGATGAGGTTCCGCAGCCAAAATGTTCCGTTTCTTTTTATCTTCTCGGCATAGAACACACCTTTACTTGTTCCAAAGACCGGAGGAGATCATCATGAAAGCGTATGTTGTCAAACTTACAATCGCCAGTCTCCGCTCGCCTGCCATGCTCACGTTTTAGCTTCCGTTTCTGGGCCGCGGATATACAGACGCTGCTGTTTGTCGTGGATTAGGCAACTCTCTGGTAAATAACTGGGCCACACACAAGAGTCCAGAAGGCTTTCATTGTCACCCTGCCTGAACAGCCTTTTGATTAAAAGCTTTTCTCCAAGCATTCTAAAAACGCTCTGTACTAATCCCTTTCAGATCAGTGTGTGGGGGACTGTATTCAATCCCCCTCTCTTATTTCAGCACTGCAGATGCTGGAATGCAGGGTTCCTTCACAGTCTGCACAGAGCGATGAAGTGAACACTGTTCCTGTATATATACTGGGTACGAACACCTTCTAGGCAATGTCCTACATTCTATTACAGAACTCAGGAAACTCATGTCTACCGGGAACCGTTAGCAAAGATTCCGGTGGGTTATCTCATTTAAGACAGGTGGAATTTCTACAGATCCACAGCACATTATAATATCACATTCACAGATGGAAGCAAATAGCCCCCTTTTAAGAAATAGATCAAGCAGAACTCTCTACCACTTACCTCTTCGCGTGAGTGTTCAGTGTGTCGCCGTCAGGTATGCTGGACCGATGTTCAGGCAGACCGTACTGGGGGGGGCAGGCTGGCCAGATGTTCGAGGCCGTCTGCGGTGTTGCCGTGCACGCACATCTGGAATATCAGGCAACGGGATCTGCACACACCGCCGCAAGGCAGGGGTACCCCCCAGACCATGTCCAGACTGAACACTCACGGCAGCAGAGACCTCTCGTGCTCTCCCGGAGGGCCCGGGCCGATCCG